AAGGGGATGGATGAGAAGAGAAGGGGATGGATGAGAAGAGAAGGGGATGGAAGAGAAGAGAAGAGAAGAGAAGAGAAGAGAAGAGAAGAGAAGAGAAGAGAAGAGAACGTACCTATGACGAGTCGAGATTGTGCCATCGTTTTCCTGGTGAAAGAGCCAAATATTCCGGAGTAAACAGAAGTGCTGCTGTTTGATTTTAACTTTCATTCGTTTCCTTTTTACTTCAGTTTGTGAGTGACGAGCCGTTAATTGACGATGGTAGTGGGGAATGTTCTGATTGTGTTTGCGTTAACGGTACAAATGGAAAGGACGGTAAAGATGGAAAAGATGGACAGAGTATCGTAGGCCCTATGGGACCTCCGGGATCACCCGGGTTAAACGGTGCACCCGGTGTCGATGGACGAAATGGAACAGATGGAAAACAAGGAGCCCGAGGAGAAAAGGTGAGAATCTTGACAGAATCGAATAAAGTAATCACTCGTATCCATGGTGATATGTAATGTTTCTGATAACCACAGGGTGACCAAGGAATACCAGGACCTCAAGGACCGCGTGGACCGCCAGGAGTCTGTGACCAACATCTAGTAAGAACTATCTATCATTATTGATAATSCTTAATAATAATTATTGGTTTCGCGTTTTAAATGTGTTCATTTTTTTGCAGCTTGATACAATTACCCAAGATATTGCGAGCCTTAAAGATCAGGTACGAATCGGCCCGTATGTAGTGTGCGATTGGACAGCGTTTCCGATCAAYTAAATAAAGCTACATGTATCGTATCTTGCCTATCGAATGACTTTCTRCGCATGCGCTGTTTCCATAGCATTGTGACCGCTATAACCAGTACATACCAACTATATTTCTCCTTGAACAGGTTCGTCTCGCTCAAGAAACAATAGACAAAAAGTACAATACTCTCAACAACAAGGTAAAAGCATGCACAGACACCTTTAATTTGTCATATCTAATATAGTATTCCCAACAACTAAAATTTAACTACTCGTATTCAGACCATCCCGGAAGCTGATAAAGGAGAAGCTCTGGCCACGAGAATGAATTCAAGACATCTGTTGGAAATCGAATCAGATGCTCGGTTACGTAGATACTCAGTTTAAATGCTCGCAATATTTGATATGGTATAGTTTTATCCCACCAGATTACTGCGAATGAAAAAGTGGTTACTACTTTGATAAATGAAWTAAATCAAGTAAAACTGAGGGCTAATCAAGACTTCTTCGAGCTGTCAACCGCCATCAAGGTAAAAAACATCGACAGTCAACAATGATTGATACCTTGCGCAACCCTTTCTGGAGTACATTCAGGATTTTCTATGGGGTAGAGGATGACTCTTTCTTACCTCRACAAATCACACCTTCCTCCCCCCCCAAATACCTGCATGTAACAACTAAATTGGTGGCTCACACGACCTGACTTTAGCCTAAGTGTTATTTTATGGGCGGGAGGGGTGCTTGGAAAAGCTTTGGCTGACCCTGACCCTACCCCCCTCCCCCACATCACCCAATTGTCAATTTGTTTCGTTTAACAACAGATCGTCAATGACAGTCGAATCCCTGGGCCTCCGGGACCCCAAGGAGAACAAGGACCACGTGGCAGCCAGGGGTCTAAAGGTGAAATGGGCCCTCAAGGTCCGCAGGGACAACGAGGACCAAAAGGACGAAAAGGRAACAGAGGACCAAGAGGACCACAGGGAGAAAGTGGAATAAGTGCCTTAAGGGGATGCAAGCATCGTGAAACTAAAAGCATGGGAAATACAGGAAAAGTTGATGTGATCGGGATCCCAGAACCAAGCCCTGTAAGTAACACACGAATGATTATAATATTGAGAAGAACTCGTGGGTATGTCGTATTACAGCATTCTGATTGGTTGAGTAAATATTTAACGTGTTGTATTTAAGTTTTCTGATTTGATGAGCTAATGATGTACGCGTTTCGTGTTCGTGTATTCTGATCGCATCAGCTTTGTGATTGGCTGMACACGGGTAGACATGATGTAACGTGACGTGATATGATGCCGTTAATACTTATCATGTTAGAGTGTTGATAATCTCAGTGAATAAGCGATCTAAGCGAACGCTGTAAAGAAAGACCTGAAAAAATTATGCGATGCCGGTGCGATGCTCTACCAACTGAGCTATGAAGCCAATCCTGTTGGCGAGCGGTCATTTTTGTTGGGTTCATCATGCCACTATATGTAATAAGTGTGAATATTGAATGGATAGAACTGTGGTTCACCACTTTTCTATCCATTCAATTCACAGTTAATACTTATCAGTAGCCCACATTTCCSTTTTCTTTATATCCTTAACGAAATTTGTGTTTATAACCTGAATGGTGGAACAGGGAAAGAAGTTGGAGAGTTTCTAGAGACCACGTTCTGAGTTAACGAAACACTTGTTGCTTTTACTTAACAGGGTCACGTGTTAGTGGGCGTCACATGTTCATCAGAAGGCAGAACGATTAACAAGCTAGTCCCAATGGCAACATCCCCATATACATGTGAATGTACTCGATACAATGATAATAGCTTGAGTGAAGGCAATTTCGGCGATGATGATGATGATGATGATGATGATGATGACAAAAGGTCATCACTTGGTACAAAGAGAATACGTTGGGGCACCCGCAAACGATTCTTCTCTCGGCGACGCTATCATAGACCGCCCAGTAAGATATATTGTATAATACATTACTGGGAGTGCCCGACTAACTAGACCMAGTTGTTTGTATCTATGACAACAGGCCCCAGTATATCACGTGATTAATATTAGCATTCACAATAATCACGTGGTTACCAGCAGTCATTACGAATAATATATCCCGCATATCGATATTTGTAACGTTTCGATTAAACAAATGCTAGATTTCATTTAGTGTCCATAATTTTCTTTTCCTTGTTTAATAATCTTGTTCTACTATAGTCTGATGGTRTTGCTGGATTACAATAAACAATTCTACAAGTTATCACAATGGCATGTGTATTTATGATTGTTAAACATTTAGATAACCAATCAGAGACATGGTGGCCCATATCAACCAATAGAAAACCAATTTCTTGCATTATTGTCCAATCCCCAATGAACGAACCGTTCATCAGGATTTAGGACGAAGACTCGAGACGAAGTCAGCAACGATTTGATTTGTCTTTGTTGTTGCTACGTTACGGTCTGACGTCATGACACTCGACGTGGAGGCATGGGTTGAGGTTTCAATTTTTTGGTTTTCATTTAAGGAGAATTCGTACTTTGTTTGCTCGGATTCAGAAGACTTTTCTTTCGACAACGAAACTTTGTTACCAGTTATTTGTAAGATCTCCTGATTTTGGTCAGCCTGTTGCCCTGGAAACTGTTGCCAAGGAGGTGGAGCTAACCATGAAGGTTGGAGCGGAGGTGGAGGCATCGTCCCATAATACTGAGGAGGGGGGAATGGAGGAACGAAGGGAGGTGGGTAAGGATGGTTTTCCTGTGGGGGGAGGGGTAATGGCGGATAGTTTTGGCTTTGCGGCGGTTGTTGAAAGGAAAAATTCCCTGGAGGGGGAGTGTAGTGTGGATATTGTGGTATTACATTATCATTGTTTGTTACTTCTTGCATCCCTTGTGTTGTATCATCCACTGTTCTTGTTTCAGTATAACTGGACATACTATCATCCTTCTGGGTAGACAATCTTTGTCCCTTATTACCCTTCCAAGGTTTTTTACCAGCTTCTTGTTTGGAGTCATTGTTTGTTGCCTCGTAGTAAAATGAAGGGGGAGYGAAATCTTCAGTTCTTTCCTCTCTTCTCCTCTTCAAATAAGTAGTTGCTATATCAGGTTGGGCTGGAAAAAAAGAAGCGTTTTCATATTGTGAATTTTTTACAGCACTTTCTGGAAAAAAAAAAAAGTGTAGATGGAAGAGAGGGAGGCAGGGAGTTGAAGGAAAAGAGAAATAAAAACAAAACAAAAGACATAAGTACCTATCTTGTGTYGAGCCCATTCCGGTAGCTGTTTCTTCCTATTGGCCTTTTTTCCCTCATCCTGTTCAAACTCCTCATCAGCGTTATCAACTGGTTTTCTCACTTGTGTTTTCATTTCTTTTTCCTCTTTAYTTTCTATTTCTTCTTCATTTTTATTTTCGTTTTCTACACTATCTTTATCCTCTGTCGATGAAGGCACATCCCCGTCTCCAGCATCTTCACCTGTTTTCATTTTTTTCCTCGCACGAACTTTAGCAAGTCGTGCTTCTAATGCTGCCTTGCGTCTGTCCTTGATCTTCTCAATGCGTGATCTTTGGTCTAGAGTCTAGACGATGCCCAAATATTACAGTCAAAATGAAGATTAGAAAACATTGCAAGACAAAAAAATTGAAACTGTTRATATACAATTAGACAACACCAAAAGATAATCTCAACATAAAATGGGAAATATTGTATTTGTATAGTCACCTCTTCTCTTAGCTTTTTTAATGTTTCCATTTGTTTTTGACGTTCTTCTTCGACCTTGGAAAACTGATAATATCCAACTCCATGGTTGCGGACCTCTGCCGAGAAAAACAAATAAACAAATGAGTAAAAATAAGGGAAAATTCTGATATTATTATACTACTAAACAGATTGATTTCCCATGCAATGCTGAGTTAAAAATTCTTTTCTAATTCACTTCAACGACTAGCCTAGAAACAATTAAAGTGAATCCTAACCTCTTTCAAATCTCATATCAACTTACCATCAAACTGGATATTTTGGTAATGTGTTGGGCCAACAGGTTGGTTTCTAGCTTCCTCTTCTTCTTTTTCCCATTTATTTCTCATTATTTCTCTTCTCATGTCGTCAGATAATAAAGTTGGTGGACTGGGGCTGATATTATGGAATAATATCATTCAACAAGGAATTTAAAATGTACTAATGATGTACAGATAATGAATCATTGAAAAAATGAAAGAAACTGTCCTTATTTTTCACGAGGGTAGCACATAATATCCAGTGGCTAACGAACCTGTGCCCCTCATTCTGTGATTGAATTGAAATTTAGGAGGTGATTTTTTTGAGGGAGAAAAACCAGAGAACCCGGATAAAAACCCTCAAAGCACAGGAAGAAACTAACTAGAAACTCTACTCACATACAACACCGAGCCAGGCAGGACTCGAACTCGGGTCGCCTTGAAAAGGCAAATGAAAAATGAATAAGATAAAACTTCTTGAAAACCTTTTTCTTGGAAGYAGTTCTCTGTCTCTTTCTTGTAGCTCCTTTAAATCTTTCCTGAGACATTTCCTTGAACGGCCAAGCGAATCAACATAATCAACCCTATAACATATAAATCCACTATTGAATAATTTTCCCAGTACAGTATCTATGTACAGTATCTATCCTAGCTATTACCATTCTTCTTCTGGACATGAGGGGGRTGGGGTAGGGGGGCCAATGTCTTCGCTATCCTCTTCATCACCTTCCTGTCTTTTTACCTGTAAATAATTATAAAATATTCCACAAATTACTTATTCTATAGAAATAAAATTTTGCTTGTTACTGTAGGGTTGTTTGTGAATGGGGAAAATCTGGAGAACCCAGAGAAAAATTCTCAAATCAAGGGAGAAACCTTACAAACTTTGCTTTCACAGGGATTGAAATAGGATTTTTATTAGCCTGCCATAGTAAAGGAACATGGTAAAAGGAGGTCATTCCAGTAAAAATTGAAAGCCATTTTATTATTCATTTTGCAGCCCATTGTTATTTTTGCCTGCCAAACCTGAAATTTAACCTGTCATTTGGCGATTGGCAGGCTGCTATTTTGAGCCCTGTTACATGTGATGCCTCAGAACATTTTATTGCTATACCACCCTTGATTCATCTAGTGGTGTGCGGCATGTAGTACATTACCAAAACACACCACCTCGCTTACTAAAGGAAGGTCAATAACATCACATTATATATACCTCATTATAAATYTTTTTATGAAAGTCAACCAAGAATCTTCCTTCTCCTGATTCTGATTCCTCCTCATTTTCTGTAGATTACAATATGTATATATGTTATAATGTTTTTACCCAAGCTAGACCAAAATGCATCCCATTTATGAAACTCAGAAAAAGGTTATGGACCCAGTACAAATGTTGAATTACCTTCAATTTCMCCCTTGGCCATTTTTTCATACAGAGCTGCTTTTGCTTCAAGCATTTGCCTGCAACAATATCAGGGTGTGAACAGAGWAGATAAGCAATAATTAATAATGTCAGTACTGGCAGCAGTATGGAGAGATCTGTGCCTCACCTTATGTCTAAGAAGGAGCAAAGAGGATAAGTAAGTACTGGCACTGATTTTGGAATAGGAATATTATGCTTGAGGCAAAAAATGGAGAGGATAGGGCAGATAGTATGTATATTAAATCACAAGAGCCCCAAATCAACCAACCAACAAACCAAAACCCAGAATGAGGAGCAACCATCTGTTCCCCTCAACATAGTTCCTTTCCCCTACAGTGTGGCCTATTTTTGGGGAGGGGGGGGGGGGGGGGAATCAATAGAAATAGGAGTAGCAACTGAAGTGGAAGTGCAAGTAATAGTCACCTTGATTTCTGCAAAGACTTTTCATCTTCTGTCGGACCATCATTCACTTGTGTTTGTYGTGTTCTGACCTGGGATGTGGTATTCTTGGGTTGCTTGCTCCATACTGGAGGTTTCTAACATGCAAGAAAAAAAGACATTTGTTTGGCTTTCAAWTATTACAAGAAAGGCGGTTATGGAGCTTTCACTGGATGCATAGGTTTTTTGAGGGGAATATATTATAGACGAGAGTCCATCAATGAGGTGTAAAAATTCCTAAAGCGAATTTGTAGGGAAAATTKCGCAATAATGAAAACTTACATAAAATTGAAGGTCAGTATATGAACCAGTATTTAGAAGGAAATGATGGATAAAATAAATTAATGTTTTTCTCTTAAACCTTTTTRATATCAGCTGATCTGCTCGTCTTAGCTGCTCCACTGTCCTTACGAAACTGCYGCTCTTTTCGAAACAACTCAGCCTTCAAATCTACTATCTATAATAACAAAATACAGCAGAAGCTAAAACTATTGTAATTTTCTATCAAAGATAAAAGAAAACAGGATTTGTAAAATAGATTTACCGAAGTCTCATCAACTTCCAACACTTTCTTGGTCGCCATCTTGTTTTGTTTTGGAAATCCGCTGRCCAGCTGTTATTTGCAAAAGACACTCGCATTGTATTGTGGGTAGAAAGATGTTAGGGTCACTTCCGGAAAATATTCCGGATTTATTTATTTATTTGTCATTTTAAGGAATATTGTATTRAAAGGCTAGTTCTCCTACGTTTCCTACAGTGTGTTTAAGAGGCTTGATAAAGCCTTCAACAGTCTGTAGCCTCTCTCACGTGACCTTAAACAACTTACTAGCAAAGCGATGCATTCAATCGACAGTGTGAGTATAGAAAGTTGCAATAAACAAAAAACAAATCTATATAAAAATATCTTAGCAAAGCGCGTCACTTTTTGATATATGTATGAAGGCCAAATATAGCGAAACAACCAGTGGCGCCAAATACCATGGTTAAGTTACTATAACGTTGCTATGGAAACCTGGTATTTTTAGCTCCCCTTATGGCCCCTTTACGTGTTTCATTGACAGCCTGGAGTATCAAAATGTATTACTTTTTTTCTAAGAAATAGAAAGTTGATATCTCGAAAAATATATCTCGAAGCATAACTGTCTTTGCGCCACGTGTGATGTTGTGAGAGGTAAGTACCACGCATGCGCAACAGGTTGACATTGTTATTAATATATCACCTGGTGCTATACGACTCACCTTTACCAGTTTGTGAGTCTACAGAACAACTACATTTCTATGAATTTGCACAATTCACTATGAGTGAAGTTAGAAGACGAAAGATCGGAGCTCAAAATAATAATCACAAAAAAGAAAATGTTGAATCAGATAGCACCAAAATCAACAAGGCAGGACATGGTAGMTACATAAATCTCCTAGCTGTACTTGAAGTTGTGTTTGGTCTGCTGATCGCGGTTGCTGTAGGCTACAAATATGCTCTGTACATTAAAGAATTGCACGAGAACGATATGTGGTTCTCCAATATCGGGGTAAGTAGTGAATAGTGAATTTAAACTGGGTAAATTTTTTAACCCCATAAGGTGATCAAAGRATGTGACATAATAATATCCGCTATATATGATAACAAGATGTTATTTATTTTATATATAAAAGCTTATAGAACCAAAAAGAGTAATAGTAAAGAAAAAAGTCTGATTTGTTGAATACGATAAGTGCAAAAAATCATCCTATTTTTTAAATTCAGTCTTCTATAAATCGGTTTCTATGAAAAACTCCACGGATCTTAATTTTAATCGTTCATTATACACTGCTGGTTCAATGTTGACATTATCACAGTACTTCTTTTGACCTTCTAATCGTTATTAATTCTTACTAGCTAAATTTTGATCGTTCTTTAAAATATTTGATATTTCTGTAATTTCTTGATCTGAGGGGGCTTATAACTCTTCAATTTAATACGAGAGGCTTTGGCTGAGGAAGAGAAGCTCAAAATTAATAAACAGCTATTAACAAAGTGAAGTTATATTATTTACATAACGTACAACGGCTTCTGACAAGTAAATCCCATAGCTGGTGTTTGTTTTTAATTTACAAAATTAACAATAGATCCTATAAGCTTCTGTTGTCTTTTATCTCAATCTATTTCCATCACCAAATTTGCTAGATATTAGGTTACTGTTCCACTGAAAGGAATGATTAGCTTATTATGTGAAAATGTGGGACAATTATATTTTGATGTGAATATCACAGCTGTAAAGACATAATAGAGGATATAAGTCATCTTAATTATTGTAGAAATGTAATTTGTATGCCAAAAGTGTACATCATTTATAATCTACTGAAATATTACATACTATTGCCTAGTTTTAACTTCAATTTTATATAAAATATGATGATAGAAAAAATATATACTTTGATATATTTGATACTTCATTGTGAGACTGGTTGCTATGGTAGCACAGGTTAAATTACATGTCAAAGTGATTGTTGTTTGTTTACTTTGGTTTCTTACAGCAAATAAAACGTGAAATATCATTTCGTACAGAGTCTGGCTTGTATTTTTCATATTACAAGCAACTGGTATTGGCACCAACAATATCGCAAGGTATATTTGAAGTAAATATTGAATGAAAGCCAATCAATGAAATATCTCGTTAAAAAAAGAAGCCACTTGACTACTTTTTTTACTAGAGATATATTCTTATACAAGTTTTAATATATTGATTGTTTCTGAATCAAAATTATTAATTTTCAAAATAAAGATTATCGCAGTGTTTGGTTAATAATAATTTTGAGTATTGCATATACTATATTCACAGTATTTTTATCTAGTAACACAGTATTAGTAACGCAGTATTTTTTTCTAGGGCTTTATGATCTTACCCATGATAATGCCACAGAACATCTAAGAACTATTAATATTTTGGAACGATTTAATGTTTACCAAGAGGTTATTCTGGCTGTACTATACAGAATCTTACCTTTTCAGGTATGTAAATTTGTTACTAGCAATGAYGACTCTTTTTCCCTCATAAAATCTTTTATGTAAAAAGCCAATCTTTTGGGCATCCTGTGGAGAAATACCAAAGGTAACCCATGTCTTCTTTTTTGTAGGATACTTATGAATATGTTTATTTTTACATTGACACCATATTTGGTCTTCATGGATTATACATGGTTGCTTTGTTTGTATCGTCATGGATACTGAGTGGTTCATTCTTAGCTGGTCTCCTAGCAACATGCTTTTTTATCTTTAACAGGTGAGTATATGTGAGAAAATACATATAATGTCTTGCTTTCATATTAAAAGTTTAATCTTTTGTTTCCTTAATTTTTAGGCATGACACAACCAGGATTTCCTTCACCATGCCACTCCGTGAAAGCTTTGGCTTTCCATTCTTATTTTCCCAAATTGCATTCATAACTTATTACCTGAAAAGAGATATCTCAAAAACAGCCGAGGTAAATTTCATAAGATGAAAGTAGAAGCATAGAAAGTCTGTGGTAAGAATTGACCAGGAAGGACAGTTTCTTAAATAGAACTATGTAGTTTGACGACCAATGTAATATCTACTGGATATAGCTATCCTTTATTATAAACCTGTTCATCGATCCTCRTAATGTTTTCAGAGTTTTCTAACTATCTGGTACAATATATCCTCAGGTGATATGCATTTTCTTCATATTCTGCTGCACGTTTTTCTTCACGCTTGTCTGGCAATTTGCGCAGTTTATCTTGTTGCTGCAGAGCATGACCTTCTTTGGAGTTTATGCACTGGGCTTTGCTCCAAAAACAAAGGTTGGTATATTGTTCCTATATACAGTACACTGTTATCATCACCATACAATTATTGTCATAATATTTTGTCATCATCATCATTAATCAGAATCTGCATCACCATCATCATCAGTCATTATTATCTTCACTACCATGCCATCATCATCAACACCTTTATCATTATCATCACCATTGCCATCACTACCAACATCAATCATCAATCCTTACCATCATCACCATCATCATTACCATCATGAACACCATCACCACCATCATCATCATAATCATCATTGCCATCATCACTATCATCAC